GTCACTATGGCGGTGTGTTCACTCACAGGATGAGTGGCGCTGCCCAATACTGTCACTATGGCGGTGTGTTCACTCACAGGATGTGTGACGCTGCCCAATACTGTCACTATGGCGGTGTGTTCACTCACGGGATGAGTGACGTTATCCAATACTGTCACTAAGACGATATTTTCACTCTCAGGATGAGTGACGCTTCCCAATACTGTCACTATGGCTGTGTGTTCACTCACAGGATGAGTGATGCTGCCCAATACTGTCACTATGGCGGTGTGTTCACTCACAGGATGAGTGGCGCTGCCCAATACTGTCACTATGGCGGTGTGTTCACTCACAGGATGAGTGGCGCTGTCCAATACTGTCACTATGACGATATTTTCACCTATAGGATGAGTGACAGTGCCCAATTCTGTCACTATGACCGGGCTGTCAGCGGTCTGTCTAAAAGTTGGGTGACTGGAACCTTTTTATCGATTAAGCATAATTCACTTAAACGTTATTGTTCCTGCGAGCGATAAATGGATACAGAGAATCGCTGTTTAATGGTGGTGTGGTCTGGAGATGAAGGTCTTGTGTTTATTGTATCGTTAGCAAGCGTTCGTGTGGTAATATTTCTTTCAGATGCTTTCCACTTTCCATATGCGTTCATATCCGCACCGCCTGCTACATCTCTCTCTCTCTCTCTCTCTCTCTCTCTCCTCTCTCTATCTCTCTCTCTCTTCTCTCTCTCTCTCTTACTCTCTCTCCCTCTCCTCTTCCTCTCTCTCTCTATCCTCTCATATTCTCTCTCTCTCTCTCTATCTCTCTTTCTCTCTCTCTCTCTCTCTCCTCTCCCTTCCTCTCTCTCTCTCTCTCTCTCCTCTGTCTCTCTCCCTTCTCTCTCTCTCTCTCTCTCTCTCCTCGCTCTCTCTCTTCTCTCTCTCTCTCTCTCGCTCTCGTATATCTCTCTCTCTCTCTCTCTCTCTCTCTCTCCCATATATCTCTCTCTCTCTCTCCTTCTCTCCTCTCGCTCTTCTCCTCTCTCTCTGTCTCTCAATATCTCTCTTCTCTCTCTCTCTCTCTCTATTATCTCTCTTCTCTCTTCTCTCTCTCTCTCTCTCTCTCTCTCGTCTCTCTCTCTTCTCTCTCTCCTCTCTCTCTCCTTATCTATCTCTCTCTTCTCTCTCTCTCTCTCTCTCCTCTCTCTCTCTCTCTCGTTCTCTCTCTCTCTCTCTCTCGTTTTCCTCTCTCTTCTCTCTCTCTCTCTCTCTCTCTCTCCTCTCTCTCTCTGTCTCTCTCTCTCTCTCTCTCTCTCTCTCTCTCTCTCTCTTGCTCTCTCTCTCTCTCTCTCTCTCTCTCTCTTCTCTCTCTCTCTCTCTCTCTCTCTCTCTCTCTCTCTCTCTCTCTCTTCTCTCTCTCTCTCTCTCTCTCTTCTCTCTCTCTCTCTCTCTCTCTCTCTCTATCTCTCTCTCTCTCTCTCTCTCTCTCTCTCTCTCTCTCTCTCTCTCTCTCTCCTCTCTCTCTTCTCCCTCTATCTCTCTCTCTCTCTCTCTCTCTCTCTTCTCTCTCTCTCTCTCTCTCTCTCTCTCTCTCTCTCTCTCTCTCTCTCTCTCTATCTCTCTTCTCTCTCTCTCTCTTTTCTCTCTCTCTCTCTCTCTCTCTCTCTCTCTCTCTCTCTCTCTCTCTCTCTCTCTCTCTCTCTCTCTCTCTCTCTCTCTCTCTCTCTCTTCAATATCTTTCTATCTCTCCCTCTCTTCACTCTTTCTCCACTCGCTCTCCAAATCTCATTTCTCTCTCTCTCTCCCCTCTCTCTCTCTCAATATCATTCTCTCTCTCTCTCTCCAATCTCTCTCTCATTCCTCTATCTCCTTCAATATCATTCCTCTATCTCTCTATCATCTCAATCTATCTTCTCTATCTATCTCTCTCTGTCTCTCTCTCTGTCTTCTTTCTCTCTGTCTCTATCTCGCTCTATCTCTATATCTCTCTCTTCTCTCTCCTATCTCTCTTACGCCCAGGTCTCTTTCTCGCGTCGTCACAATTAGGCTTACCTTTCATTGGTAATTAGAGCAGCCCTTTTAGCAGCACAATTAGGCACATCATTGTGTACTGTCCTTTTGGTCTCCTGCCACCTAGTCCATTTCATGTGTGCATATGTAATTACATAAGTGTAATTACCTAAGTGTAGTTACAGGATGAGAGCTACGCTCGTGGTGTCCCGTCTTCCCAGCACTCTGTCATATAACGCTTTTTAAAACATACTGACGGTATTGGCCTCCAGGTGGTGAAGGCCAAGACCGTCAGTAGTTTCAAAGCGTTATATGACAAAGAGTGCTGGGAAGACGGGACACCACGAGCGTAGCTCTCATCCTGTAACTACACTTAGGTAATTACACTTAGGTAATTACATATGCACACATGGAAATGGGACTAGGTGGCAGGAGACCAAAAGGACAGTACACAATGAAGGGGCTGCCTAATTGTGCTGCTAAAAGGGGCTGCTCTAATTACCAATGAAGAGGTAAGCCTAATTGTGACGACGCGAGAAAGAGACCTGGGCGCGGACGTAACACCTAATCTATCTCCTGAGGCACATACAAATAGGATAACGACAGCAGCGTATTCTACACTGGCAAAAGTTAGAACATCATTCAGAAACCTAAGTAAGAAGGCATTTAGGGCGCTTTACACTGCCTACGTGAGGCCAGTCTTAGAGTATGCCGCACCATCATGGAGTCCCTATCTGAAGAAGCACATAAGGAAACTGGAAAAGGTTCAGAAGTTTGTAACGAGACTCGTCCCAGAGTTTTGAGGGATGGGGTAAGAAGAGCGCCTGAAGGAACTGTGCCTTACGACACTAGGAAGAAGGGAGAGGGGGAATTTATGATAGTAACGTATAAAACACTGAGGGGGGATTGACAGAGTGAACATAGACGAAATATTCACACGGAATAGTAACAGAACGAGGGGACAAGGGTGGAAGCTGGAAACTCAGATGAGTCAGAGATGTTAGGAAGTTTTCTTTTAGCGTGAGAGTAGTGAAAAAATGGAATGCACTTAAGGAACAGGTTGTGGAAGCAAATTCTATTCATAATTTTAAAACTAGGTATGATAGGGAAATAGGACCGGAGTTATTGCTGTAAACAACCGATGGCTCGAAAGGCGGGATCCAAGAGTCAATGTTCGATCCTGTAGACACAAATAGGTGAGTGTACACACACGCCAGTTCAACCCGAGTAAATGCAAGGTCATGAAATTAAGCAGTGGAAACAGGAGGCCAGACACAGGATACCGAATGGGAGATGAAATACTTCATGAAACGGTAAGAGAGAAAGATCTAGGAGTTGATATCACACCAAACCTGTCTCCTGAAGCCCACATAAAAAGAATAACGTCTGCGGCATATGCGAGGCTGGCTAACATCAGAACAGCGTTCAGGAACCTGTGTAAGGAATCATTCAGAACCTTGTATACCACATATGTAAGACCAATCCTGGAGTATGCGGCCCCAGCATGGAGCCCATACCTTGTCAAGCACAAGACGAAGCTGGAAAAAGTTCAGAGGTATGCCACTAGACTAGTCCCGGAACTAAGAGGCATGAGTTACGAGGAAAGGCTGCGGGAAATGAACCTTACGACACTGGAAGACAGAAGAGTAAAGAGAGACATGATCACTACCTACAAAATCCTCAGAGGTATTGACAGGGTAGACAAGGATAAACTATTCAACACTGGTGGTACGCGAACAAGGGGACACAGGTGGAACCTGAGTACCCACATGAGCCACAGGGACGTTAGAAAGAACTTTTTCAGTGTCAGAGTAGTTAACAGGTGGAATGCATTAGGCAGAGATGTGGTGGAGGCTGACTCCATACACAGTTTTAAATGTAGATATGATAGAGCCCAGTAGGCTCAGGAACCTGTACACCAGTTGATTGACAGTTGAGAGGCGGGACAAAAGCTCAACCCCCCGCAAGCACAAATAGGCGAGTACAAATAGGTGAGTACTCACAAGGGGGTGTGAGTGAAGGGGGGCCGGTGGCTGTGTGGATAGGACGCTGGACACGTAATCCTGTGGCCCTGGTTCGATTCCCGGTGCCGGGGAGAAACAAAAATGGTCAGTTTCTTTCACCCTGATGCCCCCTGTTACCTAGCATTAAATAGGTACCTGGGAGTTTGACAGCTGTTACGGGCTGCTTCCTGTGTGTGTACTTACCTAATTGTACTTACCTAATTGTGCTTGCGGGGGTTGAGCTCTGGCTCTTTGGTCCCGCCTCTCAACTGTCAATCAACTAATGCACCGGTTCCTGAGCCTACTTGGCTCAATCATATCTACACATGAAGCTGTGTATTGAGTCAGCCTCCACCACATCACTTCCTAATGCATTCCATTTGTCTACTACTCAGACACTGAAAAAATTCTTTCCAACGTCTCTATGGCTCATTTGGGCACTCAATATCAACTTGTGTCCCCTAGAGCGTGTACCCCTTGTCGTAAATAGCCTGTCTTTATCTACCCTATCAATTTCTCTGAGTATCTTGTATGTGGTGATCAAGTCCTCTCTAAATCTTCTGTCTCCCAGTGACGTGAGGTTTAATAGTCTCTCCTCGTAGCTCATACCCCTCAGTTCGGGTACTAGTCTGGTGGCAAACCTTTGAACGTTTTCCAGTTAACCCTTTTGTCTTTGTCTGCCATAACACTACCATACTCACTGTACACCACCACACAACACTACCATACCAACTGTACCATACCACACCACACAACACTACCATACTCACTGTACAACACCACACAACACTACCATACCAACTGTACACCACACCACACAACACTACCATACCCACCGCACCACACCACACAACACTACCATACCCACTGTACACCACCACACAACACTACCATACCCACCGCACCACACCACACAACACTACCATACCCACCGCACCACACCACACAACACTACCATACAACACTACCATACAACACTACCATACAACACTACCATACATTGCACCATACTTCACCATGAAGTAATAAGCCAAGGAAATTGCATCGATTTTTGTCGCCTTTCGTCGGCCGATCTATCTGCCAATTTGAACATGGACGAGATGCGGAAATTTGACGGTAAGCGGCCGGCTGCCTCGGACCAGAGCTGGCCCTGGGCCGGATACTCCTCCGCTTGTCCAGAGTATTGGTCTGTAGGGCGGCCGGGTGGTCTGTGGGGAGGCTGGGTGGTCTGTGGGGCGGCCAGATGGTCTGTGTGGCGGCTGGGTGGTCTGTGAGGCGGCTGGGTGGTCTGTGGGGCGGCCAGATGGTCTGTAGAGCGGCCGGATGGTCTGTGGGGCGGCCAGATGGTCTGTGGGGCGGCTGGGTGGTCTGTGAGGCGGCTGGGTGGTCTGTGAGGCGGCTGGATGGTCTGTGGGGCGGCCAGATGGTCTGTGGGGCGGCTGGGTGGTCTGTGTGGCGGCTGGGTGGTCTGTGGGGCGGCCGGATGGTCTGTGAGGCGGCCGGGTGGTCTTTGGGGCGGCTGGGTGGTCTGTGGGGCGGCCGGGTGGTCTTTGGGGCGGCTGGGTGGTCTGTGGGGCGGCCGGGTGGTCTTTGGGGCGGCCGGGTGGTCTGTGGGGCGGCCGGGTGGTCTGTGGGGTGGCCGGGTGGTCTGTGGGGCGGCCGGGTGGTCTGTGGGGCGGCCGGGTGGTCTGTGGGGCGGCCGGGTGGTCTGTGGGGCGGCCGGGTGGTCTTTGGGGCGGCCGGGTGGTCTGTGGGGCGGCCGGGTGGTCTGTGGGGCGGCCGGGTGGTCTTTGGGGCGGCCGGGTGGTCTTTGGGGCGGCCGGGTGGTCTGTGGGGCGGCCGGGTGGTCTGTGGGGCGGCCGGGTGGTCTTTGGGGCGGCCGGGTGGTCTGTGGGGCGGCCGGGTGGTCTTTGGGGCGGCCGGGTGGTCTGTGGGGCAGCCGGGTGGTCTTTGGGGCGGCCGGGTGGTCTTTGGGGCGGCCGGGTGGTCTGTGGGGCGGCCGGGTGGTCTGTGGGGCGGCCGGGTGGTCTTTGGGGCGGCTGGGTGGTCTTTGGGGCGGCCGGGTGGTCTGTGGGGCGGCCGGGTGGTCTGTGGGGCGGCCGGGTGGTCTGTGGGGCGGCCGGGTGGTCTGTGGGGCGGCCGGGTGGTCTGTGGGGCGGCCGGGTGGTCTGTGGGGCGGCCGGGTGGTCTTTGGGGCGGCCGGGTGGTCTGTGGGGCGGCGGGTGGTCTGTGGGGCGGCCGGGTGGTCTTTGGGGCAGCCGGGTGGTCTTTGGGGCGGCCGGGTGGTCTGTGGGGCGGCCGGGTGGTCTGTGGGGCGGCCGGGTGGTCTTTGGGGCGGCCGGGTGGTCTGTGGGGCGGCCGGGTGGTCTTTGGGGCGGCCGGGTGGTCTGTGGGGCAGCCGGGTGGTCTTTGGGGCGGCCGGGTGGTCTTTGGGGCGGCCGGGTGGTCTGTGGGGCGGCCGGGTGGTCTGTGGGGCGGCCGGGTGGTCTTTGGGGCGGCGGGGTGGTCTTTGGGGCGGCCGGGTGGTCTGTGGGGCGGCCGGGTGGTCTGTGGGGCGGCCGGGTGGTCTGTGGGGCGGCCGGGTGGTCTGTGGGGCGGCCGGGTGGTCTGTGGGGCGGCCGGGTGGTCTGTGGGGCGGCCGGGTGGTCTGTGGGGCGGCCGGGTGGTCTGTGGGGCGGCCGGGTGGTCTGTGGGGCGGCCGGGTGGTCTGTGTGTGTGGGGGGGGGTCACGTGTGTGGGGCTCACGTGTGTGGGGCTCACGTGTGTGAGGGCTCACGTGTGTGAGGGCTCACGTGTGTGAGGGCTCACGTGTGTGAGGGCTCACGTGTGTGGGGGCTCACGTGTGTGAGGGCTCACGTGTGTGAGGGCTCACGTGTGTATGTGGGGGTCACATGTGTATGTGGGGGTCACATGTGTATGTGGGGGTCACATGTGTATGGGGGGGTCACATGTGTATGTGGGGGTCACATGTGTGTAGGGGTCACATGTGTATGTGGGGGTCACGTATGTGGAGGGGTCACATGTGTGTGTGGGGGTCACATGTGTGTGTGGGGGTCACATGTGTGTGTGGGGGGTCACTCTCCGTGTCCCCATGCACAACTTTCATCCCCACTTTTCCTCAACATTTACAATAATAATTTACAGTAAACATATCGTGTTAATTTACGACCGCCATAAAACAACGAAAAAAAGTTCGCCGTAAATTGAAAACCGGAAAAAAATTTAATTTATTCCTCGCAAATATTTTCTGCTAATTTCAGGCCTACATTAACCTCACGTGCTCAGAGTTATATTAATTATCATCATGTTAAGTGACTTAATTACTCATTATTTTCATAGGTTATATATATATATATATATATATATATATATATATATATATATATATATATATATATATATATATATATATATATATATATATATATTATTCATCTTGTTTGGACTGATATTTTGAAAATTTATTCTTTTCTTGTTCATCCTATTTTGTACACAGTTCACCGTTTCCTTGTGACAGAAGCAGACCAAGATTGGTGCCAGAAAGAAACACAATGGAAGGAAATCAAAAATAATAAGCAGTAAGCGAAGTAGAGAGAGAGAGAGAGAGAGAGAGGGAGAGAGAGAGAGAGAATCATGCCTCAGTGTACAAGCAGCCTCTGGTGTCATAAAGATTCCCCCCCCCCCCTCACAGTGCCTATGACAAAGACTCTAGATCACAGCAAGAGAAACCCTGAAAGAAGAAAATATTTGTGTCCCTCCCGCCTTTGATGTCTTCAAAACAGTATCGTCAAATCCCTCCAAAAAAGGGATCTGGCATTATCGTCGACGTTGGTTTTATACTTCTTACAATACGTGTCTGCCTTTGAAAAAAAAAATGAATTTCGAAATATAGAAATGCTTTCATTGCATTCAAAGAAAAAGACACTCGGGAGAGAAAATTCTGATATATATATTTTTTTAATAGATATAAAATTGAGTCATCGAGTCACTCAAACGGGCCGAAGGTTCGTGGATGAATTTGTTTCTCCAAGCGATGATGCTGTTATATAATATTTTGTTTATGCTGCACTTGCAGGTGTTTATGCTGCACTTGCAGGTGTTTATGCTGCACTTGCAGGTGTTTATGCTGCACGGGCAGGTGTTTATGCTGCACTTGCAGGTGTTTATGCTGCACGGGCAGGTGTTTATGCTGCACGGGCAGGTGTTTATGCTGCACGGGCAGGTGTTTATGCTGCACGGGCAGGTGTTTATGCTGCACGGGCAGGTGTTTATGCTGCACGGGCAGGTGTCTATGCTGCACGGGCAGGTGTCTATGCTGCACGGGCAGGTGTTTATGCTGCACGGGCAGGTGCTGCTCTTTTTTTTCTCTCTCTCTCTCTCTCTCTCTCTCTCTCTCTCTCTCTCTCTCTCTCTCTCTCTCTCTCTCTCTCTCTCTCTCTCTCTCTCTCTCTCTCTCTCTCTCTCAAGGTAACAACAGCGGGCCTTGTGTCAAGAGTGACACGGACTCTCCAGCGTGCAAGTCTGGTGATTCATGAGGACATGGTGAGAGTGTGAGTGAGGAGGGAGACTCACCACAGCACCAGTTATGAGGGCGGTGGGGGGATTTAAGAGGAGAATTAATCCCCTGACAGTGAGGAACGCTCTCGCTGCAGAATTAATCCCCAAGCATTACTCATGCTTTCAATTATTGCAAGGATATGTTATAAGAACTTTCATGAATATTGAATGGACCACTAAGAACCGGATTATTCTTTTAATTGTACCAAGTTTACCGGAGGCCGAGGTGTTTATATGCGGTTAAATTGACATGATTTATATACTCAAATATACAGAGGTGTAGTGAATGAGCGATGGCAGGGGCTAATAACTACATTAGTCAGACAGTCAGTCAGTCAGTCTGTCTGTCAACCAGTCAGTCAGACAGTCAGTCAGACAGTCAGTAAGTCAACCCAGTCAGTCGGTCAACCCAGTCAGTCAACCCAGTCAGTCAGTCAACCCAGTCAGTCAACCCAGTCAGTCAGTCAATCAACCAGCCAGTCTGTCAACCATTCAATCAGTCAACCCAGTCAATCAACCAACCAGTCAGTCAGTCAACCAGTCAGTCAGTCAACCAGTCAGTCAGTCATACGACCCAATTACTAGAAATTCTCGAGAAACACTTCTGTTCCTCTTTTTTTTTCTCTTCGTTAATTTCCTCAATGATTAACAGCATGGTTCCCTTGTTGCTCCTGGCTCCCCCCCCCCGGGGTTCCCGTGTTGCCTACTGTGGTGTTCAGATGTTCCTGTGTTCCCTGAGCGTCCCTGGGCTTGTCCCTCCTCCTGCCCCTTGCCTCACACTCTTAAATCCAAGAGCTTAGTGACAACTCTTCCTCTAGTGTTCAACACCTTTGATCTATTGTCAATGAACTTTATCGGGATGACATGTTGCCCTGGCCAGGGTTCCTAACTCTGGGGTCCTTAACTCTGGGGTCCCTAACTCAGGGGTCCCTAACTCTGGGGTCTCTAACTCTGGGGTCTCTAACTCTGGGGTCCCTAACTCTGGGGTCCCTAACTCTGGGGTCTCTAACTCTAGGGTGCTTAACTCTGGGGTCATTAACTCTGGGGTCCTTAACTCTGGGGTCTCTTACTCTGGGGTCCCCTAACTCTGGTGTCCCCTAACTCTGGGGTCCTTAACTCTGGGGTCCATAACTCTGGGGTCCATAACTCTGGGGTCCATAACTCTGGGGTCCATAACTCTGGGGTCCATAACTCTGGGGTCCATAACTCTGGGGTCCCCTAACTCTGGTGTCCCCTAACTCTGGGGTCCTTAACTCTGGGGTCCATAACTCTGGGGTCCATAACTCTGGGGTCCAAAACTCTGGGGTCCATAACTCTGGGGTCCATAACTCTGGGGTCCATAACTCTGGGGTCCATAACTCTGGGGTCCTTAACTCTGGGGTCCTTAACTCTGGGGTCCCTAACTCTGGGGTCCCCTAACTCTGGTGTCCCCTAACTCTGGTGTCCCCTAACTCTGGGGTCCTTAACTCTGGGGTGCATAACTCTGGGGTCCATAACTCTGGGGTCCATAACTCTGGGGTCCATAACTCTGGGGTCCCCTAACTCTGGTGTCCCCTAACTCTGGGGTCCTTAACTCTGGGGTCCATAACTCTGGGGTCCATAACTCTGGGGTCCATAACTCTGGGGTCCAAAACTCTGGGGTCCATAACTCTGGGGTCCATAACTCTGGGGTCCATAACTCTGGGGTCCCCTAACTCTGGTGTCCCCTAACTCTGGGGTCCTTAACTCTGGGGTCCTTAACTCTGGGGTCCCCTAACTCTGGTGTCCCCTAACTCTGGTGTCCCCTAACTCTGGTGTCCCCTAACTCTGGGGTCCTTAACTCTGGGGTCCTTAACTTTGGGGTCCTTAACTCTGGGGTCCCTTAACTCTGGGGTCCCTTAACTCTGGGGTCCCTTAACTCTGGGGTCCCTTAACTCTGGGGTCCCTTAACTATGGGGTCCATAACTCTGGGGTCCATAACCCTGGGGTCCATAACTCTGGGGTCCCTTAACTCTGGGGTCCCTTAACTCTGGGGTCCCTTAACTCTGGGGTCCCTTAACTCTGGGGTCCCTTAACACTGGGGTCCCTTAACTCTGGGGTCCATAACTTCTGGGGTCCATAACTCTGGGGTCCTTAACTCTGGGGTCTCTAACTCTGGGGTCCTTAACTCTGGTGTCTCCTAACTCTTGGGTCCCTTAACTCTGGGGTCCATAACTCTGGGGTCACTAACTCTGAGGTCTCCAACTGTGGGGTCCATAACTCTGGGGTCCCTTAACTCTGGGGTCCCTTAACTCTGGGGTCCCTTAACTCTGGGGTCCCTTAACTCTGGGGTACATAACTCTGGGGTCTCTTAACTCTGGGGTCCATAACTCTGGGGTCCTTAAATCTGGTGTCTCCTAACTCTGGGGTCCCTTAACTCTGGGGTCCCTTAACTCTGGGGTCCCTTAACTCTGGGGTCCCTTAACTCTGGGGTCCCTTAACTCTGGGGTCCATTAACTCTGGGGTCCCTTAACTCTGGGGTCCCCTAACTCTGGGGCCCCTTAACTCTGGGGTCCCTTAACTCTGGGGACCCATAGGTCAGTGTGTCACTGACCTGTCACCAAGTTGCAAGCCTATGCACACCCTGCGTTGCACGCCTGTGATGATCACTGGTGTGTGCAACACCATTCATCAGGTGTTGAACTGTCTCTAACGACCCGATGATCACAGAGTGCCAGTCGGGAGACTGATGTCGAGAATGACTACTCGAGCACCTTTTAACAAGACCATGAGACTGCACTTGGAAACCCACGTTATATGGATTACGTTAGATCGATCGATCTAAGACATATACCTCCGGCTGAAACAAGGAGACAATTGGTATGTGGAAATGTTTAATGATCCGTAGCTTTGGTAGTTAGGAAGTGGAACAGGACCAATGGCTCGCGGGAGAGTGGTTTGTGCTGGCTAGAAGAGCTGTGAGGCTTTTTGACCACTGTTGACCTGTGTGTGTGTGTGTGTGTGTGTGTGTGTGTGTGTGTATAAATGTATGCTAGACTTAAAGCCTGGATGGAGCTGTTCACCTCCCGTCACCAACATTCGGAACTGGTCACTTACCGCGCGCAAACAACCAGGGCTCGTCACTTATCCTCACCAACAGTAAGGAATGGTCACTTTTCCACACCAACTGCCAGGGCTGGTCACTTCAGTTGTCTAACAGTCAGAATTCGTCACTTTCTCTCACTAACAGCTGAGGCTGGACACTTCCCTGGCCAAGAGCCAGGGTTGGACACTTTCCTTAGTCAACAGTAAGGACAGGATGGTCACACTCCCTCGCCAGCTGACAGAGCTGGCAGGGAAAGTAGCCATCACGGACAGTAGAAGGTATATACAGACCTCGGTACTCAGTATGTCCTTCCTTGCATGGGGGTGGGAACGTTGCATGGGGGTGGGAACCTTGCATGGGAGTGGGAACGTTGCATGGGGGGTGGGAACGTTGCATGGGGGTGGGAACGTTGCATGGGGGTGGGAACGTTGCATGGGGGTGGGAACGTTGCATGGGGGTGGGAACGTTGCATGGGGGTGGGAACCTTGCATGGGGGTGGGAACGTTGCATGGGGGTGGGAACGTTGCATGGGGGTGGGAACCTTGCATGGGGGTGGGAACGTTGCATGGGGGTGGGAACGTTGCATGGGGGTGGGAACGTTGCATGGGGGTGGGAACCTTGCATGGGGGTGGGAACGTTGCATGGGGGTGGGAACGTTGCATGGGGAGTGGGAACCTTGCATGGGGGTGGGAACGTTGCATGGGGGTGGGAACGTTGCATGGGGGGTGGGAACCTTGCATAGGGGGTGGGAACCTTGCATGGGGAGTGGGAACCTTGCATGGGGGGTGGGAACCTTGCATGGGGGGTGGGAACCTTGCATGGGGGTGGGAACCTTGCATGGGGGTGGGAACCTTGCATGGGGGGTGGGAACCTTGCATGGGGATGGGAACCTTGTATGGGGGTGGGAACCTTGCATGGGGGTGGGAACCTTGCATGGGGGTGGGAACGTTGCATGGGGGTGGGAACGTTGCATGGGGAGTGGGAACCTTGCATGGGGGTGGGAACGTTTCATGGGGGGTGGGAACCTTGCATGGGGAGTGGGAACCTTGCATGGGGAGTGGGAACCTTGCATGGGGGGTGGGAACCTTGCATAGGGGGTGGGAACCTTACATGGGGAGTGGGAATCTTGCATGGGGAGTGGGAACCTTGCATGGGGAGTGGGAACCTTGCATGGGGAGTGGGAACCTTGCATGGGGAGTGGGAACCTTGCATGGGGGGTGGGAACCTTGCATGGGGGGTGGGAACCTTGCATGGGGGTGGGGAAGAAGCTTTAATGGAGGGGGGGAAGTCTCGAAGCTGAGTGAATCAATTCGGCTTCATAATAATAATAATAATAATAATAATAATAATAATAATAATAATAATAATAATAATAATAATTATAACAATAATACACGGATCTTTTCCTGCAAGATATAAAACTCGGCATTTATGGCTTTCTAAACAAAAATAGCAAGGAGACGCGGTCTATATCATTCAGGTCTTTTTATTCACTACTTTACCACCAACTCCCAGCCTTCCCGTCTTCCTCGGGTGGAAAAGACATTTCCTTTCCATTATCTGGCTGCTTCCGGCGCCTCTTTTACTTATTGCTGAAGACCCAAACTATCGATATTGATCACGTGAGAGAGAGAGAGAGAGAGAGAGAGAGAGCGAGTGATTTTCGGGGGTTAGATAGTGCTGGGGATCAGATCATTAGCGATCAGTTTGTCGTGTTTATATTCCGTTATTTTTGGACTCTAAATGCTCTTTTAACTTGTTTGGGGGAGGAAAGTGCTGTGGGATGTAGTGCAACATCTTTGTGTACTGAGCTTTAGTCTTCTTGTGTCTTGTTTAAAGCTTACCATGTCTGGTAACAAGCAGTGTTGCAATTTTCTTGATGTCGCTCCAGATGTTGCAAGATTAAACTACGCCTCTTTGTAATGTTTTTCATTTGTGTCGATGAGTTTAACGATTTTATAATTCACCTGCATTGGCAGACCAACTTTCCCATGTGGAGGGAACGAGTGTGTTTATATATGACGCTCCTCTACTGGATCCTGGAGAGGGGATAGACCAAGCTCCTCTACTGGATCCTGGAGAGGGGATAGACCAAGCTCCTCTACTGGATCCTGGAGAGGGGATAGACCAAGCTCCTCTACTGGACCGAGTAGAGGGGATAGTCCAAGCCCCTCTCCAGGACCATGGAGAGCAGACCTATTCATTGGTCCTTTTATACTCATTGGTCCTCGCTAGGGTTTGGTTCGGGCAACTTAGCACATCATTTTTGTGGCGTTTTGATAACCGGAGAGTATGGGCGTATAGGTTGAACGGTTGATTGGTTGATCAGGAAGTTGATGTCCTCCCATCATGAAGTTGGTGATGAGTTGATCAACTCACCCAACATCCCCCTCACCCCCCCCCCCCCCCACCACCTCCACCATCATCTCGAACCATCATAGTTTCTAGAAGTGTCATACGTTATTGATCTAGAAGTTTCTACTTAATTAATCTAGAGGTTTTAATCATTTATTGATTGAGAAGTTTCATACTATATTGATCGAGAGGTTTAATATTTTACTGATCTAGAAGTTTAATACCTTTTTTTTAATCTGTAAGCTTCATACTTTATTGATCAAGAAGTTCCATTCTTTATTGATAAAGACGTTTCTTACTTTGTTCGTAAAAAAACTTCATACTTTATTGACAAAGAGATTTCACACTATATTGATCGAGAAATTTTAAACTTTTTTCGTCAAGAATGTTCCATACTTTATTGATTACCAAATTTCAAACTTTATTGGTCAAGAAGTTTCGTATATAAAAATAAAAAAGAAATTGAATGATAACATCGCATTATAATGAGGATATCGTGTATTTTTCTCAAGTCACACATAAAAATGATATGCAAACAGTTGTATAAAACAAGGATAGCCAAACATTGACCAATAACGAGGATAGCCAATCACCAATAACAAGGATACCCCAAACAATCACCAATAACGAGGATAGCCAAACAATCACCAATAACGAGGATAGCCAAACACCCACCAAACACACACCGAAACTACGACGTTGGTACAACGTTCCAACAAGTTTTAACACCTAACCAGTTATAACAACCAATATAGCAAGTTGTAACAACGTTCTAATACGTCATAAACACGTTAAGCCAAGATGTAACAACTTTATTACAAGTTGTAACAAGTGGAAAATAGAGACAGTTTCGGTTTGTGTTTTCCAAACACAAGCTGTATTTAAAGCGGGACTTTCACTAGCTTCTTTACTTACCTTCTGTATTAACTTTAAACCCACTTAAATACAAAAGATATAATAAATAAAATATGTAAGTGATTTTTTAATAAAAGCCATAATTCAGAAATATAAAATAGTGGGTGTCAGAGTGACTAACACATCACAAATCTGGACATCATAGGCAGAGTGATCATGGATAATAAGAAGGGATAGGAAGCCTTTCGTGGCTCAGTGGGTAGTGTATACGCCTGAGGAGTCCCGGGATGCAAGTTCGATCCCCATTAAACAGCCTCATTAGTGTCTCCAAGATACCAGACGTCCTTATGCTTTCAAGTACAACAAAGTATAATAATATACGGGAATACGGCACAATAAATCAGTGATAAAGGATAATTAAAGGAGGATAATGTGTGATAATCATGGCCTGAAAGAATAAAAACATTAAATAAAGGTTACTAGGGAATAGGCATAGTTGACACTAACAACCATATTTCACACTAATAACCATAGTACACACTTATAATTCGTAAAAAAGGTAAATATTTATCTTGTAGGGATAATTAACTTACCTTAGACTCGCACTAACGAGCCACATGCATGCTTTAAGTAACTACTAATTTCAAGGGGAAGGTGATAGTTACTTATTAGGATTGGTCATTGGGTCAAATTTATTCATTCACAATATCATGTGTGACGGTAAAGTGTTGGAGTGTTGATGTTCGGCAGTCCTCCAATGGCAGGTGGCAATGCCTTGTCACACTTACAGAAAAAAAAGAGACTGCTTGCCTGTTTGTCTGTGGTAAGGTAATGAGAAGACACAAAACACAAAGTATAAACAATTAAATTTTAATTACTTTAGAAAACAAGATATGAACAAAGACAATCCCTTGGCTTACGTAAAATTCAAAACAAGTCAACAAACAAAACAACATGAATAATTAATAGGTGTAAAATTTGCTCTAAAACAAAATGAAGTGCAAGACAATAATGATAATGTAATCAGGTGCTGAGAATACTGGCTAAAGCTGCCACCTCCCTTAGTACACGACAGCCAGGGCTTTGTCTACCAGAGAGAGATGTCAACTCCTAAGAGCACAGAGATATTCCGAGGAATACGGCGTGAGCTGGCCCAGACGTCGACTCAGGAAGGGGGCGTGAGTGCTGGTGCAGGTGCGGTCGGCGATACACCAGCCAATCAGGAGCAGGCAGGCGGAGAATGGGTAGTTTGCTCGTTGACGGCGGGCGGAGGAGCCGGCGTGTCTGGTGGTGCAAGGTACGCTTTGCTTCCTGGGCAAAACGTTTGGCGATATTGGTGGACGTATCTTCAATATAGTATCTTGTACTTGTAACATGACGTGAATGATATAGGGAAGAGCAGGCTCAATCTCTCTTGAAAGAGATTATCGTCACACATGAAATTAGAAACACGAAAAAAATATGAATCTATGAACAATTTCAACTGTATAATGCTTCCACTGAACGCAATTGAATTGTCACAAACGGACCAAGAGCCCAGAGTTAATAGTCACAAATGGACCAAGAGCCCAGAATTAGTTACACGCGGACCAAGAGCCCAGAGTTAGCCACAAACGGACCAAGAGCCCAGAGTTAGCCACAAACGGACCTAGAGCCCAGAGTTAATAGCCACAAACGGACCAAGAGCCCAGAGTTAATAGCCACAAACGGACCTAGAGCCCAGAGTTAATAGCCACAAACGGACCAAGAGCCCAGAGTTAATAGCCACAAACGGACCAAGAGCCCAGAGTTAGTCACACGCGGACCAAGAGCCTCAGTAACAATGGTAAAATAATGACTCTCCTCTTGCGAGCAGCATCCTATTCATCTGCACGTTTATAAGCGTGATGAGTCGCGTCTAGACACTTCATCAAGGCCGCGTTCAGGACCTTACAGGGCAAAATTCAGGCCTTTTTCGGCAAGCTTTTCGACGCGATGAAAGGGCTGGCTTTGGCAATTTAATCTCAAAGGTCTTTGTAAATGACATAGGAGGAAATAAAACGTGGCTTAGGATATTTTTTTGCATTTGTAAACAATGGAGGGTCGGTAGATCACGCCAGAGACTCTGCTAATATTTGAAGAACTATTTTTTGGGGAAGACTTTAACACTGCTCCTTAAGTAATGAACACGGGAGAACATGAGAGGTATGAGACATGAGGGAGAATATGAGAGGCATGGTTAGAGGAAGAACATGAGGGTATGTCTAAATGAAGTACATGAGAGATATAGAGATATAGCTAGAGGGAGAACATGAGAGGTATAGCTAGAGGAAGAACATGAGGGTATGTCTAGAGGGAGAACAGGAGTGTATCTAGAGGAGGAACATGATCTAGAGGGGAGAACATGAGCGTATGTCTAGAGGGAGAGCATGAAAATAAATCTTGACCTATCAGCCTCCAGAGGGTTGTTAAGGCCTATCAGCCTCCAGAGGGTTGTTAAGGCCTACCAGCCTCCAGAGGGTTGTTAAGGCCTATCAGCCTCCGGAGGGTTGTTAAGGCCTATCAGCCTCCGGAGGGTTGTTAAGGCCTATCAGCCTCCGGAGGGTTGTTAAGGCCTATCAGCCTCCGGAGGGTTGTTAAGGCCTATCAGCCTCCAAAGGGTTGTTAAGACCTATCAGCCTCCGGAGGGTTGTTAAGGCCTATCAGCCTCCAAAGGGTTGTTAACTCCTATCAGCCTCCGGAGGGTTGTTAAGGCCTATCAGCCTCCGGAGGGTTGTCAAGGCCTATCAGCCTCCGGAGGGTTGTCAAGGCCTATCAGCCTCCGGAGGGTTGTTAAGGCCTATCAGCCTCCGGAGGGTTGTCAAGGCCTATCAGCCTCCGGAGGGTTGTCAAGGCCTATCAGCCTCCGGAGGGTTGTCAAGGCCTATCAGCCTCCGGAGGGTTGTCAAGGCCTATCAGCCTCCGGAGGGTTTTCAAGGCCTATCAGCCTCGGGAGAAATGTTTGAACCGAGACTCTGGGAAAGCAGTAAGGACTGACGTGAGAGAGACTGTGGGAAACACACATTTGGTGCACATTTTCCATCACCACAACACTGGAAACAGAGTACCGTCAATACTGTCCTGTACACATACCTATACTACGCTGTTACTCTTGTTATCCGACGTGTGTACTATCTCCCTAACATTGGTGTTCTTATCCGGCATGTTTAGTATCAAACTAATAATTAAAAGCGGTTTAATCATCCCGTTCTCCTAAGGTTTCCAAATGCTAAGAAATTGTCGTACTAAAGTGCCCTTATCCTAACCAACCAGAGGACCCACATACAGAAAACGGGACATTATGTCAACTTCACGAGCCGCTACCATTTTCTATCACGACAGTTTTTGGCCGTAGGTAGAGTGTACGTCATAAGGCGACGCTCTATTAGGACGGGTTGCTTTAATGTCTTTGATAAAACATTAGTTTCAGTATTCAGTATTTTTTTAAGAATTTTTCAGTATTCTTTAAGAAATTAAAGTTGCAGCTTAAGATATATTTTGGTGATCTGGTCTATGGGGTTAGAGAAGGTTGAGAGCTGGCAACCCTGTGAGGTGCTCAGCTGGCAACTGTGTGACGTGTCCAGCTGGCAACTGTGTGAGGTGCTCAGCTGGCAACTGTGTGAGGTGCTCAGCTGGCAACTGTGTGACGTGTCCAGCTGGCAACTGTGTGAGGTGCTCAGCTGGCAACTGTGTGAGGTGCTCAGCTGGCAACTGTGTGAGGTGCTCAGCTGGCAACTGTGTGAGGTGCTCAGCTGGCAACTGTGTGAGGTGCTCAGCTGGCAACTGTGTGAGGTGTCCAGCTGGCAACTGTGTGAGGTGTCCAGCTGGCAACTGTGTGAGGTGTCCAGCTGGCAACTGTGTGAGGTGCTCAGCTGGCAACTGTGTGACGTGTCCAGCTGGCAACTGTGTGAGGTGCTCAGCTGGCAACTGTGTGACGTGTCCAGCTGGCAACTGTGTGAGGTGCTCAGCTGGCAACTGTGTGACGTGTCCAGCTGGCAACTGTGTGAGGTGCTCAGCTGGCAACTGTGTGAGGTGCTCAGCTGGCAACTGTGTGACGTGTCCAGCTGGCAACTGTGTGAGGTGCTCAGCTGGCAACTATGTGAGGTGCTCAGCTGGCAACTGTGTGAGGTGCTCAGCTGGCAACTGTGTGAGGTGCTCAGCTGGGAACTGTGTGAGGTGCTCAGCTGGCAACTGTGTGAGGTGCTCAGCTGGCAACTGTGTGAGGTGCTCAGCTGGCAACTGTGTGACGTGTCCAGCTGGCAACTGTGTGAGGTGCTCAGCTGGCAACTGTGTGAGGTGCTCAGCTGGCAACTGTGTGAGGTGCTCAGCTGGCAACTGTGTGAGGTGCTCAGCTGGCAACTGTGTGAGGTGCTCAGCTGGCAACTGTGTGAGGTGCTCAGCTGGCAACTGTGTGAGGTGCTCAGCTGGCAACTGTGTGAGGTGCTCAGCTGGCAACTGTGTGAGGTGCTCAGCTGGCAACTGTGTGAGGTGCTCAGCTGGCAACTGTGTGAGGTGTCCAGCTGGCAACTGTGTGAGGTGCTCAGCTGGCAACTGTGTGAGGTGTCCAGCTGGCAACTGTGTGAGGGGCTCAGCTGGCAACTGTGTGAGGTGTCTAGCTGGCAACTGTGTGAGGTGCTCAGCTGGCAACTGTGTGAGGTGTCTAGCTGGCAACTGTGTAACGTGTCCAGCTGGCAACTGTGTGAGGTGCTCAGCTGGCAACTGTGTGAGGTGTCCAGCTGGCAACTGTGTGAGGTGCTCAGCTGGCAACTGTGTGAGGTGTCTAGCTGGCAACTGTGTGAGGTGTCCAGCTGGCAACTGTGTGAGGTGCTCAGCTGGCAACTGTGTGAGGTGTCTAGCTGGCAACTGTGTGAGGTGCTCAGCTGGCAACTGTGTGAGGTGCTCAGCTGGCAACTGTGTGAGGTGTCTAGCTGGCAACTGTGTGACGTGTCCAGCTGGCAACTGTGTGAGGTGCTCAGCTGGCAGCTGTGTGAGGTGTCTAGCTGGCAACTGTGTGACGTGTCCAGCTGGCAACTGTGTGAGGTGCTCAGCTGGCAACTGTGTGAGGTGCTCAGCTGGCAACTGTGTGAGGTGTCTAGCTGGCAACTGTGTGAGGTGCTCAGCTGGCAACTGTGTGAGGTGTCTAGCTGGCAGCTGTGTGAGGTGTCCAGCTGGCAACTGTGTGAGGTGTCCAGCTGGCAACTGGCAACCAGCTGGGTTGCTCCTCCTATCACTGGTACCCAGACACAGCCGAGACACGTAGACAGGAAGGTACAGGTACACTGGGCCCCCTCACGGTACACTGCTGCTGTAGACAGGAAGGTACAGGTACACTGGGCCCCCTCACGGTACACTGCTGCTGTAGACAGAAGATAACCTGTCTCTCGCAATAATGTGTGTAAACTGTGTATCCTTCTCTGTATACCCGTCCAGTGTATTATCCCCCCCCCCCACACCGTGTATAGCTGAGTATAGCAATGATATACATTGGTCCACATTCCCCCATTACTCAAAACGCCACCTATTGTATTTGTATTAATACAACAAAATTCATGCCGAGCGCCATTAGAGTTAGCTAGTTGATCAACTGTATTTCTTTTTTAC